CCATCCGTAAGATGGCGGTTACCTCAAAAAACCTAAAGGGGACGTATGTCCGCGGGCTTAAGGAGGCAACCGCCGGCCTGGAGGAGGCCATCCACGTAATGTCCACTCGGACGGACACCGGCAGTGAAGTCCGCCGACTGGAGGCCTCAAACAGGAGGTTGACGACGGAGGTCGTGGAGCTCCGCTCCACTGTTACATCTGTGCGAGAAGAGAGAGGCGCTGTCCAGGCAAAACTGGACAGCGTCACTGCGGAAAACGCGGTTCTCCGCGGTGAGGTGGACGGGCTCCACGACGAGCTCCGTGACCTGAGGCGAGAACTTCACTCGTTGAGAATGTCCCGCCTCAGGGGGGTTAGGGGAAAGAAGGGGGCGGTCGGGAGTTCGGCCGTTTCACCCTCCTCCACGCCCGCCGCGTCGTTCGGCGGTGGCAATGGCGGGGGTGGCCGGCCTACATCCGTGCCGTTTCTCCCTGCGTCGTCGAGGGAATCGGTGGGGCCGGACGCGTCCTCGCAGCTGGCAGATGAGCTCTCCCAGCACTTAACGGTGGCCGACCGGATGGAGGTCGTCACCGGGGATGGCGCCGGTCCCTCCTCTTCGAGGGAGGAGGAACAAGGATCTCCCACATCTCTCCGGGATGTGGAGAGGAGAGTGGCGGACGGGGTGCGGGAACAGCTCGCAGTCTTTTGGGAGAGATTGGAACTGCGCCTCTCCCGCCCGTCCTTAGGGGTCCCCGCCACTACCACTGCTTCGACGGTAAAGGGTGACGGTGCTCGGGCCGTCACAGGAGGGAGCAGCAGTGTCGGAAAGGGGAAAAACGTCCCCCCGGGCAAGAACCCTTCTACCCCTCAAGGAGGGGAGAAAGGAAAGAAAAGGAAGAGAAAGAGGAAGGGAAAGAGGGCGGAAGAGAACAACACCGACGGCGGTCTTGCCATACAGGCACCGGGAGCCGTTGCCTCAGACCGGCGCCCTCTCCCTGTCGCAGGACCCTCTCACCTTTCCTCCCCACATCCCTCTCCCCCCACCAACGACCGGGAACTTTGGTTCCAGGTGGTGAGGAGGGGAAAGGGAAAGAAGAAAAGTGGAGGGAGTGAACCGGCGCCTGCGCCAGCACCCCAACCTCGAAGTAAGGACGGAGGAGCTGCTGCGGTCAGCCGCGGCAGGCAACCGCCTCCGCCCAAACCCAAAGTGGGAAAGCCCCCCCGGAGTGCGGCCATCACGCTCTCTCCCGTTGAGCCAAATGTCAAGCTGGGAGAGGTAATGGCGCAGATCCGGGGGAAGCTGAAGCTCGGGGACTTTGGCATCAACGCAGGCCAAATACGCCCAAAACGAGCGATCACCGGAGCCCTCATTATTGAGGTCTCCGGGGAAGACTGCGAGGCCAAAGCGGACAATCTGTCCGCCGCCATGGCCCCGCTCGCAGAGGCAGGGGGAGCTCGAGTCGCGAGGCCAGTCAAGACCGCGGATATGCGGGTCAGGGGCCTCGACGACTCCATCTCCCCCGAAGAATTAAAGGAGGCTGTTGCAGCCGCCGGAGGTTGTCGGCCAACCAAGGTGAAGGTCGGCCGAGCTCGCGCTTCCTCTGGCGGACTGCTATCAGCCTGGGTGCAGTGCCCGCTAACTGCAGCCAGGAAGTTGGCGGGCGCGCGTTCCATCCCCGTGGGATGGGTCCGTGCACCCACCGAGGTGCTAGAAAGGCGGCCTCTTCAGTGCCACCGGTGCCTCCGGCGCGGGCACGTAATGGCCACGTGCCCTTACGCTGCTCCTACGGAGGATCGAAGGGGCCGCTGTTACCGATGCGGTGACCGGGGTCACAATGCGGCGGGCTGCGACGCAACACCGCGGTGCCCGCTGTGTATGGACCTCGGTCGACCGGCAGCGCATCGGCTCGGGGGCAAGGCGTGTGCCCCAGTGCCCCGCAAGGGCAAGAAAAAGGGGGCTGCGAAACAAGCCCCCGGGGGAGGTGGGTCGTCAACGCCTACCCCTCCCGAAGTGGTCACGGCTGCCGAGACCAGCGCGGAACCCGCGTCGGCAGGAAACCAGGGGGCAAGTCAGCTCCCTAGCAGCAGTGCCCTGGAGGAGGAAATGGAGGTGGAGGTGCCGCCTACGGTACAATGAACCCGCCCCTCCTCCTCCAGTGCAACGTTAACCACTCCCGTGGGGCTCAGGATCTCATGATCCAGAGCCTCGCGGAGTTGGGTGGGGTAATTGCAGTGGCGGCCGAGCCGTACAACGTCCCCGATCACCCGTCGTGGTTGGGGGCGGAGGACGGCTTGGTCGCGCTGTACTTCAGGTATAGCAGCGGCCCGGAGTCCTCTGTCTTCTCTCTTTTGGAGAGGGGCAAGGGCTTCGTAGCCGCAGAATAGGGGGAACTGGCAATTGTGGAGGGATACTTCTCGCCCAACAGGCCCTTCCGCGAATTCGAGCAGTATCTGGGCGAGCTAGAGCGCGTCGTTCGAACGCATAGTGCTCGCCCGGTGCTGGTCCTGGGAGACTTCAACTCCAAGTCTAAGGCTTGGGGGTCTCCCAGGACAGACAAGAGAGGAAGGGCCTTGGANGACTGCATGGCGATCTGCGGACTCGTCGTGCTGAATCGAGGCTCGCAGCACACGTGCGTAAGGCGCAACGGAGGGTCTGTGGTGGACGTTGCGTTCGCCTCCCCGTCTGCTGCCCNCCGTGTGTCCGGATGGATGGTTAGGGACACTATGGAGACTCTCTCCGACCATGTGTATATTACAATGAGGGTCTCTGTGCTCCCTGACCGCCTCCGGGGTCGCCATAGGGCGAGAAGGTCTCCTCCCCAGGGGTGGGTCCTCAAACAACTGGACCCACAGATCCTGTCCGCCGCTGCTCAGGTCGCGGCCTGGCCTTCTCCACCGGCCGGGCCGCGGGACTTCCGTGCGGAACTTCGGTGGTTCCGGGAGACGCAAGTTGACATTTGCAACGCGGCGATGCCGCGCTCCCGAGGACCGCCGAACCGGAGATCGGTGTACTGGTGGACGGCCGAGATTGCCGCTCTCAGAGTGGAATGCATCCGAGCCAGAAATCAGTACACCCGCGCCCGTCGCCGAAAGACTGGCGACGTGGAGGCGCGAGCAGCGGAGGCGCACGAGGGCTACTGCGCCGCGCGCAAAACCCTTCGTGCTGCCATTAGGAAGGCAAAGTCCCAAGCGTGGACGGAGCTCCTTGAGGCTATCGACGCGGATCCTTGGGGGCGTCCATATAGGCTTGTGCTGAACAAGCTGCGCCCGTGGACGCCTCCGATCACCGAGAGCCTCGACCCCCAGCTCCTGGAGAGGGTCGTCTCCACTCTCTTCCCTGACGGGGAGAGAGGTTGGCCCTCCCGGGAGCCAGAGTTGGACCAAGTGGAGTGGTCCAACCAATGGGAGGTCACGGAGGAGGAGCTCCGCCGGGCCGTTCGTCGGATGGCGCGGAAGAGCACCGCGCCAGGTCCCGACGGCGTGCCCGGAAAGGTGCTGGGCTTTGCCTTTGGACAGGGTCCCCTGGGTGACCGCCTCAGGCAGCTGTTCACGGACTGCCTGAGGACGGGCTGGTTCCCCCC